TAAAATCATATTTATATATATATTTTTATATATATAAGAAATATCTTTGATTGATTGGACAAGCTATAATGGGTGTTGCACCATTGTTAGCACTAGGGAGTAGAAAATAATTGAAGATGAAATTTGGGGAAAATGTTGGTTGGGATAGAAATAAGTGCTTTTGTTTTGTTTTATTTTACTTAATTTTAATTAAATCAAATTCTCCAAAAGCGAAACCATTATCAGAATTAACTACCACCAACGATATTAACTTCACCAATCAATCACATAACCTTTTCTAATTATTTTAATTGCACGTCTATTTATGTAATCGTGTATGCTATAAAATGTTGGGACACCGAGTTAAAAGGGTGTTATATTCTGTATCCGACACATTCGGATTTCTCCATGCTTCTTTTATGCAAGTGTGTGTGTATGTGTTTTTATAAAGCTGATCAAAAGTACTTTCTTTTGACTATTTTTGCCCATCTGCCCGCCACCACATTTTTCATTTCTTTATTCGGCTTTTCTAGATGCATTTTTCTCCCATTACATGTTTTTTTAATTCCCACTTCTTGTCATTAACCTAAGATTTAAGATTAAATCTTGATTTTGTTTTATCTTTTTATATATATCTTTTGTTGTTATCAAATTGATATATAAAATAAAATTAATAATTAATAAATTATATAAAATTGTACCTCTCTGATATGCATCGATCCAACATCTCCATCTCCACCTTCGAATTCGACCAGAAGTGAAAGCCAATAATTTGTAGATCCTTCGTTTACATGAAATGCAATGTTTCTTCCTGGATATTTGCATGGTGTCCTACATTTTATAAAAAAAAATATAAAAATAATTAAAATGTACTTGAATTAACACTTATGTTAAGTAGTTCGTGTTGATGTAATTCAACAATATAATTTTAAAGCTATTAAATTTAGTTTTAAAGATATTAAATAATATAATATTAAAGATATTAAATTTAGTTTTAAACAGTTTTAAGTTTGTAAACAGTGTGAACAAACTTGCATGGTGTCCTACATTTTATATATAAAAAAAATACAAAATTAAATAAAATGCACTTGAAATAACAATTATAATAAGTAATTCGTGTTGTTGTAATTTAATAACATAAATTCAAAGATATTAGATTTAGTTTTAAACAGTTTTAAATTTTGTTCACACTATGTAAACAAACGTAAAATTGTTATAACAATATGAACGATATGTGAATGATGTGTATATAAATTTTATTTTATTTTATTTATTTATTTATTTATTTTTTTGTGGTTTTGATCTTAGGTATGCAGTATTGGTACAATTTATTTATTTTTAACTATATAAAGATTTTGATAGTAAAAGTGTCTCTTAACATAAATTGAAAGTACATGTTGGAGGAACTAATTAGTTTAAAAAAAAAAAAAAAAAAAAAAAAAAAAAAAAAAACTAAGGGGTGGATGTTGTCATTCTTGAATAGTTGTGGGGGCTTAAGCATTTATAGAAAGATAGAGACACGTTAATTAAAAGTATGATTTTTTTAATAAAAATCTGAAACCAAACTGACCAAAAAGAAAAACAAACGACTGTTAATCAACTAAAAGCCGTTAAAGGACTGCGTGAATACCGGCGATAAACGATGTTCAGTACGCCGCGGTTGCGGAGCTGGTTGTGATCGCCGGAAACCGCCATGCGACCGAAGGCGGCGCCGCTGAGGTCAAAATGGGTGTTTCCGCCGGAGCAGTAACCGCCGGGACATTCGTCGGTGATAATAACGGTCACCGCCCGGCGAGAACAGATTGATTTATCTAAACACTTGACTTTATAGCATGCCCCACATCCTTCACCCGCCTTAAATAGAATTGGACTCACTGCTCCTACACGCGCTCTGAATGGCTTCACATCAACCAGAGATCCGTATCCACACGCGCCACCTACGAGAGTGGAATTACATTATTACACACACACACACACTCAGGTTTCATTCACTGATTTCAGTCAACAAATTGAACAGAAATGTACAACTCAAAGAAGCATGGAGGACAAGTCACTTCTGCGTAAAAAACTAGATTCGTTGCTTTAAACAGAAATCAAATCACTCAAATTAGTGAAATTAGTGAAATTACCATCGCTTCCGTCGCCTTCTGGACTGCCGTACCACGTCGCGGTGGCCGGACGCCAATGTGAGTTGACGGAGTTCATAATCGGCCCACCGGAGATCTCCAAACTCTGAAACACCACAGCCGCGAACCACCACATCATAGCAAAACATATTTTGCCAATGTAGCTGTTGGTGTATGATATAAGCGCCATCGTGGAAGAAAAAACACAACCACCGTGTCGGCCGGCGGCGGAGTACACGAGGTACGAATAACAAACAAGTTATAGAGAGAGAAAATGATGAGAGAGAGTATGCCGACACTGGGTTTACAGAGTTGGATTTCCACGGTGTTAGGACTGAGCTTTTCACATCAGTATATAACGAGGCTCAAAAAGGCGACAAAGGAAACACGGGTAACATACACTGGAGCTTGTAATGATGAATTTACTATTATACCCTTGATGACTTCAGTTATTTACGGTCGTACCATTCTCCCTTTTGTGTGGGTCCTATCGGCAGTTAAGGCGTCAAATCCGGACTATTCACTGCTGGGTGTCGGTAAAGTCGGGTCGGGTCGGGTTGTTCATTTTTAAGAAATATTATATTGTTATTTATGTATCGTTAATCGTTAAAGATTTGTTGGATGATTCTAAACCGGTTTTTCTTTATGGGGGTTTGTGATCACGGTTCTTTTTGCAACTTTACCTTTATATTAATAATTATCTTTCCAGTATTAAAATGCAAAATATACCTTATTCACATTTGTTTTTTCAACATGTTTTTGCACAAAAAATTATTATGTATATTAGAGCTTTCACAAAGGCAAACTTTTTTTCATTAAGCCTTTGAATTATTGGTTATATTATAATGATCATGTTTTGAAATAGCATATTTTGTGTTTAAAAAACTAAAAAAGAAGTTCCCTGGTTGATACAAAGTGGCGGTGAACAGAGTGACTTACATTCGCTCGACCAAAGATGGTTATTCTTTGTGTTGAACCAAATGGTCATAAGTTCCATGTAAATTTGAACACAAACTCCCAAGGAACCTTTATTTGACATAAAGCAAACCGATAATGTTTAGCAAGATTATTCTACTCTTTGCATATACTATTTTAGATAGTATTAATGATTCACTATCACCATTATTTCCTCGCGAGTATTAATGATTTGATTGTTCTCAGTGTGTCGTTCAACAATACATACTTGTAGTCATAAATTTTATTACTAAATCCTAGCGATGAACCTAATTTCGCCTAGCCCTGTCGCCATTTACTCTATATGTCTAAGATGAAGGTTATCATAGAAAAAAAAACTAACATACATCTTAAAAATTCTTTAATATTGCGATTCACGTTGAAGAGAAAACATCAACGCTGTAGATTTCCCAACATCCTTTGATAGGATCCTATTTAGCAAATAACAATCATCTTGCGAGTAGTTGGTTCGTTTCACTTGAAAAGTTTATTTATGTTCTCTTCTCCCCCATTTTAAAAGAAAAAAAAGATATGATAAATCCTTTCGTTTATGTTTGTCCTTTTTGAAATAGGTGTGGAGTAGAGTCGAATACATTACTCTCCCCGACCAACCTTAAGAGATGCAAGCGAAGATGACTTTGGTTATGGAGGACATTCATTTTCTTGAGGATCCCTTGGTGAACTCCTCCATGCCGATTTTGTCAAAGAGCCTATAGGTCAGTTCATCTGAGCTTGTAGACATTAAGGAGAGCATGATCACCATGTTTAGCAGGGCCCACACTAAACGTAAAAGCGGTCTTGAGTTCTACCGACAATATAGCTGATATTGGCGAGGCCAATATTGGAAAGCAGGTATAGAGACAGAGGATGTTAGGTAATCTTTTGGCTGGAGCACCAGGTGATGGGTGTAACATCCCAAAAATCATAGTAAATATCTTCATTTTTAAAACCATTTTAATGATCCATAAATCATTTAAAACATTGTTCCAAAACATTGTCCCAAGTCAAATCGGACCCTCTCCGATGCTGCCACTGGACCTGAACCAGGGGCACTTCCTTGTTCCTTAGAACCTTCACTTTCTGATCTAGGATCGCGATCGGCCTCTCGATGTAATATAGGCTCGCATCCACCTGAATGTCCTCTAATGGCACTACTGCCGTCTCATCAGCCACACACTTCCGCAACTGGGACACATGGAAGGTGCTATGGATCTGGCTCAACTCCTCAGGTAGCTCCAGCTGAGATGCTACCTTGCCTACCCTGGCAATCACCCTGAAAGGTCCAATGTATCGATGCCCCAACTTGCCCCGATTCCTAAACCGGATCACTCCTTTCCATGGGGAAACTTTCAGAAGCACAAAGTCTCCGACCTGGAACTCAAGCTCGGATCGCCGTCTGTCCGCGTAACTCTTCTGACGACTCTGGGCCATTTGCAACCTCTGTCTGGCCTGCTGAATCTGTTCGGTCGTCTTCAACACTATCTCAGTGCCACCCATAACTCTCTGTCCCACCTCTCCCCAACATATGAGTCTGACACCTCCTCCCATAAAGGAGCTCGAATGGAGGCATACCAATGCTGGAATGGTGACTGTTATTGTAAGAAAACTCAGCCAAGGGTAAGTAGGTGTCCCAACTTCCTCCGAAGTCCATAACACATGCACGCAGCATGTCCTCCAGCGTCTGAATCGTTCGCTCGCTCTGCCTGTTTGTCTGCGGATGATATGCGGTACTGAAGTGTAACCGGGTACCCAACTCCTCATGGAACTTCTTCCAGAACCTGGAAGTAAAACGCACGTCTCGATCTGACACTATCGAGGTTGGTACTCCATGCCGAGCTATCACCTCCCTCACATAAATCTCGACCAATTTTTCCGCAGAAGCGCTCTCACTAATAGCAAGGAAGTGAGCACTCTTCGTCAGTCGATCCATAATCACCCAAATCGCGTCCACTCCACGCGCCGTTCTCGGTAATTTAGTGATAAAGTCCATCAAGATCTGCTCCCACTTCCACTGGGGAATCTCCAAAGGCTGCAATGGACCATGTGGTCGCTGGTGCTCTGCCTTGACCCGACGGCAGGTCAAGCACCTCTCGACCACCAAGCAACATCCCTCTTCATCCTCATGCATATATCCCGAATCGGGGCACTCTCCGCCTTGCGACTCAGGACATTGGCTACCACGTTAGCCTTGCCCGGGTGATACAGAATCTCACAGTCATAATCTTTTACCACGTCCAACCACCTCCTTTGGCGCATATTCAGGTTGGACTGATCCATCAGATACTTCAAGCTCTTGTGGTCCGTGTATATGGTACACCGAACCCCGTACAAGTAATGGCGCCAGATCTTGAGGGCGAACATCACTGCCCCCAACTCTAAATCGTGGGTGGGATACCTCGTCTCATGAGGCTTCAGCTACCTCGATGCATAAGCTATCACGTGCCCTCTCTGCATAAGCACTGCACCTAACCCCGATATAGATGCATCGCAGTAAACTACAAAGTCCTCTATCCCCTCAGGAAGAGCTAACACTGGAGCTTCGCACAATCTCTGGCGAAGAGTCTCAAACAAGGTCTGCTGCTCGGGACCCAAGTAAAAGCAACGCCCTTCCGGGTCAACTTGGTGAGAGGAACAACAATCTTGGAGAAATCTCTCTTAAACCTTCGGTAGTAGCCGGCCAACCCCAGAAAACTCCTGATCTCGGTGGGGGATCTCGGCACCTCCCAACTCATAACCGCCTCAATCTTGGCCGGGTCGACCAAAATCCCATTCTGATTAACGAGGTGTCCTAGGAACTGGACCTCTCGTAACCAGAAATCACACTTGGAGAATTTGGCATAAAGCCTCTCCGATCTCAATACTCCGAGAACCTCTCTCAAATGCTCCTCATGCTTCTCTCTAGACCTCGAATACACCAAAATATCGTCGATGAACACGATCATCAAACGATCCAACATAGGCCTGCATACCCGGTTAATGAGATCCATGAATGCTGCTGGTGCATTGGAGAGCCCGAAAGGCATCACCACGAACTCGTAATGCCCATAACAAGTCCTAAATGCTGTCTTCTAAATATCCTCCTCACGAACCCTCATCTGGTGATAACCAGACCTCAAATCGATCTTGGAAAACCAAGATGTACCCTGCAACTGATCGAACAGATCATCGATCCTCGGGAGTGGATAACGGTTCTTGATCGTCAGCTTGTTCAACTCCCGGTAATCAATGCACATCCGGTGTGAACCATCCTTTTTCTTGACAAAAAGGATTGGTGCTCCCCACAGTGAACTACTCGGCTGGATAAATCCCTTTCCCAACAGCTCCTGAAGCTGCGAGAATAACTCCTCCATGTCTGGCGGCGCAAGGCGATAGGGCGCCTTGGCGATAGGTGCCGCCCCCGGAAGTAAATCAATACGAAACTCCACCTGCCTCTCGGGAGGCACACTTGGTAGCTCCTTAGGGAAAACGTCCGGAAACTCGCTAACTACCGGAACCCCAACGACAGTACTCGGTCTCTCCGTAACATCCCGCGTATCCGACACATATGCCACAAAACCCATGCAACCCTGCTGCAAGCTCTGCCTCGCTCGAGCAGCCGAACAAAATGCTGACCCAGATCGGGTGCCCTCGCCGAATACTGTAAGTACTCCCCCAATAGGGTTTCGGATGGTCACCAGCTGACGCTCACAGACGATCATGGCTCCGAATCGACTCAACCAGTCCATGCCCACGATGACACGCACATCCCCCATCGCGATAGGTACCAAATCTGTCGGAAACTCGACTCCAAAAATCTCAAGCACACATCCCCGGATCACATCAGTAGCAAAAACAACATTCTCATCAGCTATGGAAACTCTCAAAGGTCGACTCAACGCCTCACGTCGGATACTGATGTGACGACTAAATGCTAGCGATACGAAAGTGATGGGTTTTGAGCATTCTAACACTCCTATGGTGTACATGCAACCCTAGAAACCTTGGATCTA